AACACCCAAGGGAGGTAGAAGACTTCCTCTCACTAGTCCGGTGCAACCTCCATAGGAAAGGTCCATAGCCGACAAGTCGGTATATGTATCGATCGATCAACCAAACACTCTGCAGAGGTTTCACTATTCCACCAGATAGCCATCATAGGTGCTGATCATCACCTAGGCAGATGCCGATCGCCACAAGCCTAGAATGGTGCCATCCTGCCTCTCGACCCTGGCCGCCGAGAATGTGAGACATAGTACCAGGCCAAGGGGGTCACTATGTTGTCTCAGGAGGGTGTGGGTGCCTCGCCCGTACCTCCCTACACTGTCTGCTTACAACCTAGCAGTAATGGTACCATTCTACCAAGGGTTAGACCGTCTCCCCCCATTAGAAAGCGAGTGGAAATCAAAGAGTTCCTATGGTCCGGTTACCGGCCCATCAGTTCCTAGGTTTGACCAAACAAGAATCTTCTCATATGGGTTTCCATTTTACGTGCCACCACAGCACCTCCTTCCCGGGGCTCCACTCATAGAGCTCACACCCCGGGATCTCCTCACGTCACATTTGCTCGCCATAGGTATCTCAAGTTGGGAATGCCCAGGCCGCATCCCCCAGCAAGACTCGCTCCAAGAGCTCGTCGTTATTCCTGCCCGGTCGACTCAACCCTCACCACACGCACCCAAGTCATGCACGCGGATCTCCCCAGATTGGTCATAATTAGCACCGCGTGCCTTATCCATATCATCAGCCTCTACCACGCATCACATCGAGATATAAAGCGTAGTAGACGAAATGATCAATAATAATAGCAGATGCACGTCTATCCTATCAGCGGGTGAGCAAGGTGAAGGTTGCGTCAAGGTAGTGACCAACAAGTAAATACTACCATGCAAGTCCTATCACAGTCATTTTGCATAAATGTAAAGCACTAGCAAGTCTAAATATTAGCAATGCGTAATAGGATCTACGAGGTTGGGTGGGATGTGGCACCTCCGCAGTCATCGCCCAAGTTCTCCTCGTACTCGTAGTCCTCCTCGTCAGGCTGTTCCTCCTCCGGCTCTGAAATCGGGACATAATAGTCGCGTTAGCGACTCCTATAGATTATCATAAAGAACCAATGAATAAAAAAAGATCCAAATGCAATCAATCATAAGCCTATGATGTAGATCTCATTTTTAGAAAAATTTGGACTCTTGGTTCATAATTTTTGGAGTTCGTATGAATTAGTTATGAATTTCCGAAGCTTAACATATATTTTGAAAAAGATAAAAGGCTGATTAATCTGGGGCCGACACGTGGCAGCCCCTGATTGGTCCACGTGGCGCAGTGTGGTTCAGCAGATGTGGCGAGCTGCTGACGTGGTAGCTGACGTCAGCACTGACAGGTGGGACCGGCTGCTCAGGTCGTTGACATGTGGGACTGGGTCAACGGTCAACGGTCAATGGGCCGGTAGTGGGCCGACGGGCTAGATATGGGCCGGGCCGGCCCAACATGTGTCAATCTCTGGTTGCGCCATGTCGGCTGCTGGATACCCATTGGGTTTTGTCCACGGGCTCGACACAGTAGGATGGTCCATGGTGGACTATCCACAGTGGGTCTATGGACCACAGCGTGGTTCATCGTGGACCAAGTCCATCTTCTCCCTGTTTCTCACGGCTCACGGTGGAACGTGCGCACGGCGCGGCTGCTACTTCTCCTTACCCCTTTCTCCTCTGTTTCTCCCGTGGCAGCGCTCTCGCCGGCGGCGAGCTCGCACGCGGCGCGCTCCGGTGGCTCGGTTGGGCTGCGAGGGTGACTACAGAATCGTGGGGCCATCGCGAGCGTGATAGCGGGGTCGCAGCGGGGTCACATCGCTCTGGGAGGCCGGTGTGCGTGGAACGGCGGCGCGGTAGACACGGCCGCGGTGGCGCTGTGCACCGAGGCTTCGGCAAGGGCTCGATGGGGCTCAAACGGCTTCCACATGATACAGCGGCTAGGGCAGGGATGTCCGGGGTGGCGCCAAGGGCTCGAGCGAAGCCGGCCGGTGGAGGCCTAGCAGCGACGGCGGTCGGTGGTGCAGGGGCTACGGCATCAATTGGAGCCAAGGAAGGTTTCCTTCCCCAAATCGGGGTCCAGGGCGAGCCAAAGGACTTGATCAACAACGGTCAAGGGCGCAACGGAGTCCGCACCGCGATGAGGTGCGCTGCGGAGCTCCGTTGGTGGTCCGACACGGCAACGATGGCGCGAACTAGGGCAAGGCGGGGTTTCTCGCCCCATCTTCGAGGCGGCTTGGTGTACAGGGTCAAGGCGAAGCTCTACGATCGATCCTCGCGTCATGGGGCGGCCGGAGATGGCAGGGACTCTCACGGCACGGCGGCGCTCTGGAGCGCGTCCGCACCGGCGAGGCAGGGTTGACTGAGGCGTCCGGAGCTCCTATTCCTCCATCTTCTTGTGCGCGAGGCGTCCTACGGCAAGGCGAAGCTCTAAAGGGTGAGGTTGCTGCTTATGCGGGCCTCTGGTGGTCGGAGCGGAATGAAGCCATGGTGGTCTGCGGCCATGGCATGCAGGGTGGTCGTGCCGGTGTTCCCGAGCCGCTAGGGGTCGGTGAGGCTAGGCCTTGGGCTTGTGCGCGTACGGTGCGTGTGCAGCGTGTCCAGGAGCGGGAATGCTCCGCCTCTACGTCCCCTAGGTGCGGGAACGCGGTGGCGTTCATGGCTAGTACGGCTAGTGCGGCGAGCGGCGAACGACATGGCTCACCGTAGGGTTCGTGGCGGTAGGATGGCGGTGCGGTGGCGAGGCGAGGCCGTGATGAGGCGATGCAGTGCCGTGCCGAGCAGCTACGTCGCTGTAGCTGATCGGGGCAGCGCTCCTGGCTCCGGCAAGGTCCGGTTCCGCTCCTCCTTCTCCGTTCCTCCCCTTCCTTCCTTCTTGTTTCCTCCACCCTTCTACCATTCTTGGTGTGGTGTTCTGGAGTGCCACCAGCGGCGGCAGGGTTGATGGGAACCCTAGGGCACCGAGGTGCAGTTTTATAGGCGACTGGTGAACACTGTGCGCGGCAGACGGTGATCAAGGCATCGGGGCGATCAGGCGGCTGTAGGACGCTTGAGCGGTCGCTGTCGATCCTTGGGTGGGCTCCAGAGGTCAGCGGCAGGCGCCAATTTGCCTTCACGGCCAAGGCAGGGCGGGGAGCAGGGGTGCGGCAGCGGCATGTGCTCTGTCGTGGCCATTGGCACGCGTGGCTGGGTCATGCAATTCGCGTGACTCGTGGGTCCCACGAGTGCTGTGCTGGTGTGCACGAGGTCGTCGGATGGCCAGGGGGTGGAATCGGTTGACGGGGGAGTGAGCGTTGCGCGCGCGCTGTGTCGTCCGGCGGCCGAAACAGGGGCCCGAGGGGGGGACCGGTGGAAGGGATGACAAGTCGGTCCCACTTGTCATCCGCTGCGGGGAAAGGAACAGCGCACATGATGTGTCCCTGCGCGGGCCGTGATCGTGGGCCGGTCTGGTGGCTTGTTGGGCCGGTTTGGGCGGGCAGCAGGAGAAAGAGAGGGAGGTGGAGTCGTGGGCCGGTGGCTTTGCTGTTGGGCTGGTTGGGTTGGGCTGGCTCAGTTTCCCTCTCTCCTATTTCCTTTTCATTTTCTATTTCTTTTTGTATTATGTTACACTTCTTTCATGTATATAAATCAAAGTGGCATATTTCTCCTTTGGTATAATGTCCCATGGTGATAAACATTGGTCATAGTATATGTTGGGATATTAATCCCATGTTAGTACATTTATTTATAAACAAATATTTGTTAGCTTTTATTAATCAACACATAAACCCAAATAAAATCTAAACCACCATGTTGAATATAATGCAACTTGATGTATGCTATGTGGTAAAATAAATTCAAGGTGATGAGGTGAGATACTTGTGCAAGTCATGTAGGTTTAGTTAGTGCAAGGCTACGGGTTTTCCTACATGCCACATCATCACTCAAGGGTTTCTAGGAAAAAGAAGAAAAAATTTTGTAGTTGAGATTTTTAGGTGGTTACAGCTACCCTCGTCAGCGCTGTGTTGTTCGTCGCTGCCGTCGGTGTGCTTGACTATTTGGCTCCTTACAGTTCATGTTACCTCATGTCGATGTTTGCGTGTGTGTGGCACCCCTTCGGGGGTATTGATGTGGTTCGACCTTCTTTCGTTGTTCTCGTTGTAATTGTTTTTTGCTCTTCTAATATACTCTTTATTACCTGTATAAAAAAGGGAGACAAGCAGGCTCCAGACGACTGCTTCGATCGAGCCTACCTTGTCATTAGAGGGCCCTCACGTATGAGTGCGCAAGACTAAATTAAGAACTATACCCTGCTGCAGTCCCACTAAGGTACACCATGCGTTGTTCATTTTTTTTCTTTCCTTTTTCTTTTACATTGTCACCCGACCCAAATGAGCTTAAAGTTTATATATGTTAATTTATCATATTTTGTAAATAATTTATATCTAACACACAATCATTGATGTGTTGTTACTGCAATCATATTTTTGTTTCTAAACTATTATCAATAAAGTGTAAACCATGCATATATAGTGTATATATATCAACCTGTGTTTCCAAACACTTGACTCTTTTCAGCACTTTATTTGATTCAAATTACTTGGCATGTCGCATTTCTCAATACTAACTTCTATTTTGCCCTACAAAATTACTATGCGGGAATGTTTTGGAAACACTTAAAAGTAACGATATAAAGGCACATTTTTCATTTCATTTTAGAAAAGTTGATCACCTTTTAACAAATGTGCATGGATAAAAAGTCGTTAAGTATTTAGAAAAAAGGCTAGTATTTTTATGTCACGAACCAAATGCTAAAAACTCAAATTTGCCCAATTAGGAGGAAAGCACTCTACTTGTGAAGGCTGGATGAGTAGGTGCTTGGGGTGCTTCTGAGTGCCGCATGAGGCACAACGGAGGTTGCAATGGAGTCGAAGAGTAGCTAGAGAGATTGGTTGTGGTGCATCGATGCCATAATTGAGAATTGACGAAGAGAAAAGGACAGAATGACAAAAGAGTGTGAAGGGGACAATAGTCCACAATTACTTGAAAGTAGCTAGTAAGTTAGGGAGAGGCTATAGTTTAGCAACCTAAAAATTAGGAAACTTCATCCAATGAATCTCCATCATGGATAACTTGATATCAATCCCACAAACCAAATTGTGTAACGATCCAAGCCAAGCTTTATCAAAATCTCTTGCTAAACCTTGACAAAGATTACAAACTTGTCGTCTTATCAAGTTTAGCTGACCTCTTATTAGAGTCCTTGCAATAATCTTGAGTGAAACCTTGGTGCACAAGACAAGTGTTGCCCCACCGCCACTTGGGTGCAAGAAGTGGTTAGTTCTGTTTGGGTTGAGTACCTTTCTTTTGGCCTTATCTGGCCATCCCTAATTAATCTTTGTATGGATGAGCTTACCTTGAAAAGAAACATTTAGTTGCACCCAAGATTTAAGCCTATAGAACCGTCTTATCCTTTTAGGAGCACACACCAACCTACCCATGCCAAGAATACAATAATCTTCTTGTTGAAGCCCACCCCATGGGAGTAACATCATGCTCCTCTATCAACCCGATCTTCTAGCTCTAATTGCTCCAAATCTTTCTATTATCTCATAATGTCATGCCCATATGTCTCTAATGACTCATGCCGGAACAACCACATTAGTGAGAGGCGCTAATGTCCATAATGGCGGCCCTAAGTCCATGAGGTCATCATTTTATTATGCATGTTAGAGTTAATCTTGCTTCACCTAGTATAAACTCACTGACTTAGAGTCAGCATGTATAGAACTATTCATCCATGGGAATGGTAGCAATAATCTTGTTTAGCCATTCTTAGAAATGGTTCTAATGAGGATGTTTCCAAGGTCGTCAAGGAGTTTGGATGATGACAACTCAGCTCAGTGAGGAGTAAGGTCACAACGAGGTGGGGTCTTGAATGATTTATTAACTCTCTTTTGAACTAGCATCTATTTTAGGAGTCTTTAACACCTTCCGTACTCACTACATATCATGTCATGGAAATGATAAACCGAGTATCATATGTTGTGACCCGGTAATTAATCTCTATTAGTGGCTTCAGTGTGATTTGCGGCGAAGAGTAGCTAGAAAATCTAGTGCTCCTACACATCTTGATCGTGCATTGGACGACTTGACCAAGCATGGAAAGGTTGAAGGCACGAATAGACGCTTACCCAAGTACAAGTATATGGTGGTTCGGTCTTGTGATCATTATGGGAAAAGTTGTACACCTCTACAAGGTTGTTGTTAATCATTTTGGAGTACTGCACTTTAGGATATGAGCAATTTCTTGGCTTCCAGCTCTTAGAGTAGACATGTGATGTTGGCCTATGAAACATCTGGCTTGACTTGTAGTTCCTTGTATATGCATGAAAGAATGTGTAGACTTCAATACTTTTAAATGCCATATTTTTCCATATATTTACCATGTAGAACTATACCCCGTCTTTATGCAAATATAAATATACCTTGTAGTAACTATGAAAAGCCCTTTGAGTAACTTTATACTACTCACGACACTGTCATTAATAAACTGTTACATGTTATTGGAGGTTGTGATGGCCACGTGATGAGAAAGCTAGCTCAAGTATGGTCGGTGGCATATGAAGTGGATGAGACGGACGCCTCCAATCCATTCTGTATGATAAACTAGGAGCATGAGTAAGCAAGCATGCAATTGAGAGTGCAAAAGGATAGACAATAAACTTTGGTACGACTATGGTTGTAACTTGGTGCTTGTGGATTCTGCTATGTTCAAATTAAATGAGTTTCTATATAACTTTTAATTTCATGTACGCTACCCGTGTTGAGTTGAATCTCGATTTGTGGCAGCACATGTGTATGTTGTACAACTAGATCATGTAAGTTGTGCTAGTGGAGTGCATGAAGAGGCTTAAGCTGAGTGGGTCAAGAGGATGACACTCGATAGTGGATTAATTAACTTGGGTGGGGTTCTCGTAAATTGCATCTTTCTTCTTTTATCCATCCCCTGACCATTGCCCCCACTAACCTTCATCGGCTAGCTCTCCAATTCTCGACCATTTATCATCCTAATTGCTTAGTTTTGCTCTACTGCACTGTCGGCACCGCCCATGTGTCGTACCTCGCCTCACCGACTTTTGTTGCCAGCATTCTTCGTCACACACACACTGATTGTGACAGCTTGAGTATGTGTTTGGTGACTCTGGTGCCATGTGAGGCCAAAGTGAAGGTTGCAACAAAGTGGAGGAAGAGCTAGAGACTGACTGTGGACCGTCAATGCCGAAGAATAGGTAATGAATGAAGAGAAGGGCAGAATAATCCACATTCAATAAAAGTAGTAAAATAAATTAGGGGATGCTAGTTTAATGGTCGTAACCAATGAACCCACCATTAATATCTAAGTGACGATCCAAATTGTATCTTCTTCCTCGGTCTACTGCCGCCCACCTGTTGTCCCACTAACATTCCTCTCCTCTGGCTAGCCCTCCAACTATAGTCTATACACCACTCATCCTAAGCACTCTATTTTTTTTCTCCCTAAACACACTATTACATAATTGATTTTGCGTGACACCAGCCTACTATTAACTGAGGCGGGCACAAGTGACGGCTGTCACAGTTATTGGGTGGCCGGGTGGCCCGTCACGGTTAATCAACATTAACCGTGGCGGGCGTTTGTAAGTTGCCTATCACGGTTAATTGATTAACCGTGACGGGCAAAGGGGCCCGCCGCGGTTAAGTAACGATTAACCATGACTTGTTGTCCGCGACGGGCCCCTTTACTCGTCACGGTTAATCATTTTCGCCCATCACGGTTAAGATTGCTGTAGTAATGACATCGGCGCTGCCGACCATAGTTTTCCCACCCCCGCCTCATAAACCTGCACCACCAGTCCGCCACCATACCTCATGTCCTCCTCTACCTTGCCTATATCTTCTCTAGACCTAGAGTAGTTAAAACCCAACAACAACATCTGTACTCCTGTGACCAATCCCTAACTCTGAAAACACCGCGGCGGCCCTTTTTTTTTTAAAACAAACCACGACGGCGGCGTTGAAAGTTGGGTGTCAATTCAAACAAGTGAGACGTAGTATATGAACATAGAGACACCTGAACCTGGGCGGTTTGCAGCGGGAGACGCGCGAAATGGATGCGGGCTGCGCCTGCGCGTGGCGACGTGGATGCCAGCGGCGAGCACGTGCGGCACGCTGGCAGCAGCCCGCTCCCTGGTCCCCGCGAGGATACGACAGAGGAGAAGAGGAACCCCCAGGCCAGTCACGCACGCCGTGCCTTGCCAGTTCGGGGCTCTCCTCTTTCCCCACTCGGAACCCTAATCCCCCCGGCCTCCGATCCGCTCCCGATCGGTAGCCCTTCCATCGCCGCCGCTGCCGCCCTTCCGCACCCGACCGATGGCCCCTCCATCCCCGCCGCCGCCGCCCGCGATGCAGCCTGCAGCTGATGGCACCCCAGCCCCGCTCCTACGCACCGCGTTTGCTTAGGCCTCCGCCGCCGCCGCCCAAAACCCCAGCCTCCACGGAACCCAGGCGTTCTCGGATCTCGCGACCCCTGTCCACGGCGAGTACGGTGGATCAGTCTCCGATGCCTTCCGAAACCTCAGCCTCCACGTTACCCGTGCTTCCTTGGGTCTCGCAACCCCTGTCGACGGTGACGGCGGCGGAGGATCCTGCAGCAAGCCGGCGCCGGCGCCCAAGAAGAAGTCCAAGAGGTCAAAGAGGGACGAAAACGCCATCTGGACTAGGTCCACGTCCCGCAACCGCAAGAATAAGAAGGCAGCTCCGCCGCCGCCGCCTGCCGCCCAGCCCTGGCCCGGCGCCGCCGGCGCCGAGGAGTGCGCGCCGGGGCAGCCCGTGCTCCTCTCCCGCGTCTTCAAGTCCGAGAGGATCGTCCTCTCGGATGACCGCCTCACCGCCGCCAGCTCCAAGGGCTACCGCATGGTGCGCGCCACGCAAGGCGTCGCGGCCGGAGCGCGGTACTTCGAGGTCAAGGTCCTGCACCTCGGCTCCACCGGCCACACCTGCCTCGGGTGGGCAACCAACATGGCGGACATCGACATGCCTGTCGGTTGTGGCGAGTATGGCTTTGGGTACCGTGACACTGATGGCGCAAAGGTGCACATGAACTGGAGGAACAACTATGGTCATGAAGGGTACGGAAAAGGAGATGTGCTAGGGTTCTACATCTCTCTGCCTGATGGCGAGAGGTATGAGCCTAAAGTGCATCTGAACAACAAGGGCAAGCCTTTTCTTGTGCAAGGGCAGGACGCACTGGCTCGTGTTCCAGGTGAGTGCATGTTTCAAATTCCTCTGCATGTTTCAAATTCCTCGATCTGTTTCAAATTCCTTGCATTTTCCACGCTGTCGATTCTGTGATTTGGCTAGCCCCTTTGCCGCCCATGGCTGACCATGGCAGCCCCTAGCCAGACCGTTGCTATGGCCAACTGTGCATGGCTGACGACTAGAGGCTAGCTGTTGCCCGTTGATGAACAGTACTTTAGGATTTGATTTTTTTTTTAACCAGATCTTGGGGAATTGTTGGAGTACATGCATTTTTCTGCTCCTAATTGTTTTTGGCTGCTCGGGGAAACAAGGTTCTTGGAACTCATCTTTGTAGTATGCTTCAGATCGACTTTTGGATAATGGAATAGTAGTAGTTCCATTTATTCATCTTTGTATTAATCTCCAAAGCCTAAACTAATGTGTATTGCATAAATAAATCTGACCAGTGGATTGGAGCTTTTATTACTTTATGCAGCATGCTGATATTGTTATATTTCTGCTTACTCATACCATTAATTGGAGCTTTATTACTCTATTGATGCTTACAATGTAATTGGAAATTTATCCTTTTCATTCTGGACTCTATATTTCCTGTCATCATAGCACCTTTGGCCCTTATAGTTGCTGCTCGACATGAACAAGAAGGTGCATCTCCAATATTTAACTATTGAAGTATGTTGTTGTAGCTTCCATATATGAATAAGGTGCATCTTTAACATGATTTTTTGTGTAAGGTAGTAAGAAATCCCAATTGGATATGCTTGAGAGATTTTTAGTTATCACATCAATGCTAACATGTTTGAATACTGGGTGTTCAGTGCACATATATGGATCTTTTTTGGGTTCCATTATATTACACTATTTTCAGAAAGCTTGAATATACAAAATGATGTGTCACATGCTCTCTCTTTTACAGTTATTTTCTGTATCCATTATTTTACTATTGTTCTGACAATTTGCATATGCAGGGAGTAAGATATGCTATTTCAAGAATGGGGTAAGCCAAGGCCTTGCCTTCGAGGACATTTTAGGAGGGAGGTATTACCCAGCTGGATCGTTGTATACTATGCCCAACAAGCACAACTGTGTAGTAAGATTTAATTTTGGGCCCAACTTCAACTTCTTCCCACAAGATTTTGGTGGGTTACCCATCCCTCAACCAATGAGTGAGGTGCCTCGTCAGGCCTTGAGGTGAGGTGAAAATTGATGTGCCTGAAGATATAGTTATAGGGTAGTTAGCATGCTGTGTTAGCTATGTTAAATACCCTTGTGTAAACACCAGGCAGGCCCCCTTGTGTAAACACCAGGCAGGCCCATGGATACATGGTGAAGTTGGCTGCTCGATTCATATCTGACTAGACTTTTGTCACCAAATGGGTTTAATCTTGTATGTGACTGTATCCTTATGTTATCACTAAATGGGTTTAAACTTTCCTGTGATTCAATGATTGTATGTGCTTATGTTGTCGCTGAGTGTGTTTAATATTTCCTGTGATTGTGTTTGCTATGTTGTCACCAAATGGGTTTAATCATCTTTCCTGTGCTCGTGATTGTAAATGGTAGTGGGGAACTAGTGATGGTATATAACAGGCAACCAGACAGTGAAATATATTGAACCACGAGGTCGTGTTTCTGGTGGAGCGGCAGGTGAGATCTTATTTTGAAGGAATACAATTTTCAACTGCAAAGCAAGAGATTTGTATAGCTTGGAAAGTAACTTCATGTGAATCTGCTTCATTATTTGTTCACTCCAATGATTTGACCGTACCAATCCAAACATCTTTGCCAATATTTGTCTGTAATTGAAATATGTTTGGTTTCCTTTTGATGTGCATGTGATTGACGGAATTACTTATATGTTTATTATTTTATTTCAATATCTATCATCAGTTGATTAAACTAATAAAGATAAAGATAGAATGAAGAAACTGAAGGCATGTAAGAGTCTAAGAGCATCTCTCCAAGAGTTTCCATACCCACTCTCAATCTTGATTTTTTGTCAAAACCGAAAAAACCCGCCCTCCATCAGCTCCTTATCTCAACTTCCAACCTTTTCGCACTTGGAAAAATCGCGCGCGAAGATATAAGTTCATGTACTAATCGGCCAATCTATAGGTGGAAGGATGTGGAAGAATGATAAGGATAGGGTTCTCAATGTAAATGTATAAGAAAAAAAGAAAGTCTAAAATTGGTTGGGTCATATAGAAATATTCCGGGATCCGTGATGCAAAATTGTCTTCTGTGTTTAGAAGCGAGATTCTAGAAAAAGGTTGGAGAATCCCAATAAATGTGCTTCTAACTTTTTTTAGCCACTTACAAATTAAAACTTTGTTCTAAGAGCATCTCTAACAGTTTGGTTAATGCACTCCCTTTTTTTTTTTGGCATGATGGGTGAAAACACCAGTCCAACTTAACCAAACTACCAACCTATAATGCTTGGGAAAACCGAGGCATTCATGTGAAAAAGATATGTCGATACTCTCTATCTGTTTTTTTCGTTTGGCGCTCTCCGTTGCCCTGCCACCTCCATCAGTTTACTATCTTTAGACATGAGAATATGAAGATAGAGCAGACAATAGAGATTCTGTTTTGAATGTTCTAGCTGTTAGTTATGGTGTCAGGATGGCCGGCCATAGCCTGACTGTTACTGCTTCCTTGAGATTCGTCGGAGTTGGATCTCCGGCCACTATTTTGAGATTTGAGAAGGTACGGCAGATAATGTAAATTCTATTTTGAAGGATCTAGGTGTGAACTAGGTGGCAGGACGAAACAGAACTGTTGGTGGAGTGTGTGTTTTTACCCAATAGGTTTCAAAATCAGGTAGTTTAGCATTCAATTTTTTACATACTGTCAGAGATGCTCTAACCCTTACAGGAACATATAACACATCATAGCAGTTATACATATGGCAGGTTCTGGTGGAACATAACCCTGCATCACTGATTTACATTCTTTTTGTGCAAAATCTACTTGTAAAATTCAGCAAGTCGGCAAAGTTTCCTATAGACAAAGAGAATCGTCAAAACATAAAGAAGTAAACATCTTGTTATATTGTTGCATACTTGTGCTAGTAATTAGTAAACAACATATTCAAATCCTAATAACATACATTTCCATATGGCATTCTGCACAATATGGCTCAAAATGCAATGAAGAAAGAATAGTTACACTAAAAGGCCAAGATGAATGAGAGAAGAAATATATGTGATTACAGTACATAAGTATCATTTACATTTACAAATAGGTGCATCAGATGATCCATATAATGGAAGACTGTCTATCCTTTGGAAACAATTACTCATACAAATAAATCAAACATAGAATTGTACACTGGGGCTACTCTTGCGTTTTCATGTTAAGGAAGCATAACAGATGCCATCTTGATCATGCAGTAGAAGATTAAGTCATCTTTGCTATGAGCTACTAGATGACAGGGGGACTCTTAACTCTTAAGAGGTGATATTTTTCGAAGTTAGATGTCTACCACCTGCATAGTGCGAATGATTAAATAATCTCAACTTGACCTGCATAGGTGGCTACAATCCATGAATGCTTCCACTCTGCTCAATGCTGCTTCTCGATGTTGCAACACTGACTTCATGCTAGGCTTAATCCATTTCCGTGCAATTTTTCAGGAGATGTTCTTCCATTCAAACTCACAGGCTGCAAAAGGATAATCAGATAAATAAGGCATCTTTTTATTATTCCAAACTCAAGTAACCAATGATCATTTCCTTTCTGATGCAGCAATTGCAGATGCTAGTAAGTACAATAAGCTGAACATTACATTAAGAAGCATTTATGAATTCAAACACTCCAACTTGTTGATGGTATTAACATTTTTATGTGTGAAAACAAAGGAAGTAAAAATTTGAATGCTAAGTGCTAAATAGTATTAACTACCTCGAAAAGATAGATGAACTACTCAGTTAGATGCCAGGACACAGGACATGCAGTCAAGTTGCTGCGATGGTTAAAGCCTGAACAAACATATAGAATAGTCCTAGCATGCTCCAACTTCCAAATACAAGTAACTTTAGTAATCCCAAGCTAAATAGCTTGGGAAGTTGTACTTGTGCGCACAACCTAGAGCATGACAAGCGACTGTTCTAATCTATTGAAGTGCAGTCCAGCTGTAAGCCAGAAAACAGATAGTTACTACTAACCTTCACTTCTGGTTGGCAAAGCCTTCAACAAGGCATGCAAGATTCCAAGGCCTTACAGCAGAGGCAGCTTGTGCACCACCTTTTAACTCACCATTATGTTGTCGCAACCTAAAAAAAGCTCCTTTTAACTGTATGCTTCCTTAAACTTCTAGCTATTATTTATATATACCTACTGAAAACAAGTGAATAAGATTTGCATGTTCAAACATGTGTATCCTACAAGCCAGAGTAAGGCAACTCATAGAATTTTAACACAACTCAACGCTATTCTCTGACAAACCACTAGGTTGATAAACACCATTGGCATGCATTTATCCAATGTTTGCATTGAAGCAACTTCAGGACAACGATGATGATGAAGCTAAGCAGAAAGACAAGCACATAACAGCATATGATTAGGCATGTGTATGTATTCCAACTGCGCTTGTCTAACATCTTTGGTTAATTAGAACGAACCCTGCGGCTTGCGCATCTTAATATCTTAAACAAAAGAGCTCAGCACTTGCTAGAGCTTCCTTTTGTTCTCCTCCAACTCTCTGCGTAGGAACTCTAAGCAAGCAGTACTAGAAAATGAAGAAAAGCAGTCGAATCAGTTCTAACAAGATCTAGCCACACTGTCGTGCAACAATCGCAACCGGATAGGGCCAATTTCTTGTGGTTCCACTCACAAGTCACAAGCTGCAACTCCAAAGGGCGGCTTCCCCCAAATGCTAACATTACACGAACGTGCCCGCAGCAACTATACGACGACTATCCGAGACAAGGAATCACCTGCGAGGGAAATCGTTGGTGACGCCAACGTAGGTGCTGGGGATCCGGGAGGAGGCGCCCCCACAGCCACAAGGCAGGTTGTGGCGCCCCTCCCTCTTTGTGGTGCGGTGCGCGGTGTCTCTCCCTCTCCCGCATGCGGCATGCGGTGCCTCTCCTTCGCACTCTCCCCCGAAGCCTGAGCTTGAGCGGCAGCGGTGGCTGAGCACGAGCGCGGCGGTGTCTGAGCCTGAGCTGGAGTGGCCCCTTACATGGAATCCAACCTCATCTAACCAGCCACTGGTGGTGGCTCTAGCCACTACCCATCCTTGGCCCCACGCCGCCGGCGTCGAGGAGTGCGTGGCTTTAGAGAGAAGGAGAGGAATCCGTCCATACAGTTATCAAGCCGAGGCAAAGGAGAACGCGAAGTGTTGCCGGAGTACTGTGGGTCGCTATTCACGTCCCTCAACCGGTTCCAATCCACCATCGTGAGGAGGAAGATAAAGAGCACCCCGCCCCAACTCCACGAATGGTTTGTCGGATGGCACCAGACGAAGACACCCGAATGGCGAGCAACCAGAACAAACCTCGCGGTGCGAGAATGGGGTCTGGGAGCCTATAATGGAGGGAAGTATATCGATGCAGCCAACAAGTGTAGAAAAGGTAGGCGAGGTGCTGCTTGCGCGGCGAGAGCGTGAGGCACGATTAAGACGACATCCCGAATCCAAATAGAAAGCGGAGCCTGAAACGTGCGTTATCGCCCAAGGGTTGGTGCCTTGTGAGATGAGATTCTGAAGAATGTCAGAAGCGAGCCTGGAGACGCTGGAACAAATGAACCTAGTTGATGGCCCGGACCCATGACCCCCAGGAGGGCCGATGGTGGGAGGATGGCGTCGCCCTCCGCCGCCTCGTTGTAGAGCCGCATTTGCGACCGCATCATCTCGCCCGCCTCCTTCAACATCCCGATCGGGCGGGTCGCCCAGATGCAAGTGGGAGATTGGTGGTAAAACGCTAGACCGTAGTCCATAGACCCATACAAATACGGGCTCCGGACGCTCTCAGGAGGCCCCTCCCCTAGCCCGTCTGTTCCCCAATCCCCCCATCGCCTCTGCCGTCTACCCCTCAGCCACCTCGCCGCCGGCATGACGATAGGATCGACCCCGGGTTCGCCTCCCTCTCAAGGCTCTCAGGTCTGCACTCCCTCGCATTCTTCCTCACAGATCGCCGGTACCTTGTTTATGGTTGTGGATTGATATCCGCTATAGCTTTGGCTTCTTACCCT